TACACGAATATCTAGGAGAAAAAACCTTTATTTACAAACCAATTCTAAAAATACGCTAAATTATATACAATTCCTTAATGATATAAATATATAATGGTGGTATGATCAATGGTAAAAATGTTCTATATACAAATAAATACGGGTTTTGAAATATTAAAAGAAAAAATATTATATTAAATATAGAATCTACTAAGAAAAGAACGAATTATAATATTAAATAGAAAATAATAAAATTTATGCTAAAATGTCTAGACAATATCTGCATTAACGCTGTTCAATTTAAAGTCACTATTAAACTGTCTGTTTTTAAAAGGTATTCGAGATYCTCTTATACATAAAATGGCTGATCTMAGAATTYCAAAGCTTAGTCTAGTGCGCACCCATGTCATGGTGTCAGCATACGACTCTCCTGTTTTAGAGGCCAGTTTCTCAGCTAAGTTCTTTAGGAATAGCTGGCACTCAGTCCCCATGCCTCCATTTGTACCAAAAACCAGTGGTGTAAAAGTACCCATTTCAACATCTAGTATTCTTTGCTGGTATTTCCTTTTCTTTTCTTTTTCTTGCTCTCTGAAGATTGTAGCCGTGGTCTTGTTTGTGTTGCTAGAGGAATTAACATGCGTCACACGAACGTCAAAAAATGCAGTCACTCCTCTATTCCAGAAGCCACCAGCTTTAATGTCGAGCCTGGCCTCATTACTAGTGTTCGTAGATCGCAAATCGAACATCTCACCATCCAGTGGGATAAGGTGTGGTTCAGCTTCAACATTGTTGCAAACTTTGTTGAGCAAGCCAGTAAGTAGATCTCGAACTCCGTCGTGTCTTTGTGCTACAAATCCACCCTTTTTGCAAGATAGAGCGTGATTTACTGAAAATACTGAACCACAGGTGCAATAGCTTGGTAATTCTGTCAACGGTAGGTTGTAGCGTAAACGCAGTGAGTCTCTAAATTCTTGTTTGTTTAGCGATAGCCCTTGTTCTTTTATTGGCAATGAGTTAAGCCACGAGCTTGCTCCTTTATCCCTGGCTTGTTGTACAAAAGGTAATAGATCAGGTGGTAGCTTTGCGTCTAATTGATCCACTCTGTCTTTCAAACGTGCCGACTTCATTGATTGCTGTTGTTTTTTCAGTTCCTCCTCTTGATTTGGCAGTGTCGTGCTTTGTTGCTTGATGGCCTGAACATGAGGAGTTGATATCTTCACAGATGCTTCAAACTGTAAGGGGGCTTCATCTCTGAGTGATTGAATACCTAAACCTCCTTGTGATGGTGGTAGAATGATGATGTCAAGTAAGTTCTCTGGTAAGGGCTCTTCCTGTCCGAGAAGTGTAGGCATCAGGGTTTCAAAGATAACCTCTTGAACGGGATCTGTGTATTCAGCTAGAGATTCGATTGTTCTCATATAGAAGTTAAACTTTGATTTGTAACCTTTCGTATAAGCAATGTATGCTGCGTGTGGGTAGCTTTTAGCAATTTCAGATAGTAGTGTAAGCTCTTCTTCCCATTTGGATACCTTTTCGTTGCAGTACTGGTCTTTATAAGACTTTGATCCAATTACCGCCCCAAGATGGCGCTTCCCTTCGGTTGTCACATTTACTTCTCCTTTAAACACAGAATTTGCCTCAGTCAATAGTTCTTGTGACTTAACAATCAGCCAGCTTTTGGAACCATTTACAAGATACCCATATTTTAAGCCTTCTCTCTTGAGATGTTCGTACCATTCATGAAGTACTGAAACCACACCTGCTCCAGCGGAGTCATCCGCAAACCATACTTGCTTGATATTTGGTAGAGTCATGCGCAACGTATTAATGATCAACGATGTGTTAATTGAATACCAAGGCATCGCCAGAGGATCACCTTGAGTAGTTCCTTCTTGAGATAGAATTTCACTTCCTCCTTGAACAAAAAGCCTTGAAGGATTCCTATATGTGTTGATCAGGTATAAGGACATTTCGTTACAGATGATCCGTATATTATGTAGGGCAGCTGATCGGTTCATTTGATTAAACGCATTGCTTGCATCAATCAGCAAAATTCCATCGGTTTCTTCTTCAATAAAGATTTCCCCCATGGCGAATATCTATACATGTAATATCGTCCTTTAAGTTGATATACATGTATTTATCAACCGCATTTGTTAATCTTCAGAAACAGCTATTTCACAAAACGTTGAAACGAAGATAGTGTATTCCAAGGTCGAAATGCATCGCCGTTGAAAATGCGTTTTCGTGGTTTCACAGTCAAGTACTTTAGTGGAATGAATTAATTTTGTAAAACTAATTAATTTGAAAACACCGGAAAGTACTAAGACTATACATTACTATCCCGATCCTGTCCATCTTTTTATTAGGAAAAATGGAGAACACAAGAATTATTTTTCGTTCATGATAAAGAAAAAGGGAAGAAGAGAATAACAAATGTAMTAAACGTATAAATTAGAATCGCCTTAAATATAGTACAGTAACTCGGGCAATCCGTTTAAGCGCTCTTAGAGCGTCTCCATGGAAATCCTTCGAACTGGAAATGGGACATTCTTGTATCCGGATCCTTTTTAGTTTCACAACGGAAAATCGAAGGAGCATTTGACTAAGAAAAATCTGGGTGGGAGATATATCTGATTTCCATCAGAGAAGCTAAGACCTACTCCAAATTACAAGCAAAGATGCTAACACTTATTTCTCTGAGATGAAAAGAAAAGGGTTTCATGAGACACTTTTGAATGGTGAATACTTTATTTCTCTGTTACAAGACTTATTATTAGGTCCTATAGAACCTCRACCATTTCCACTACATCATAAGTTCTGTACACTCCAGCTGAACTAAGACTTGATGATGAATCATAAAGTTGTTTAGATGTACCAAGTTCAAGTCCTCCTATTGTTGAATGTACAACACTATACTCTGAGTCATCACTCTTGTTATTTTCAGGAGTCACTGAGGTCTTTATCACTTTTGATTGGTCCCTTACCAGTGTACTTTGTAATGACAGAGAAGGTATGCTAGAGTTAAGACAAGGTACGCTAATAACATCATATTCAGGAATTGCATTGAAGTCTTGTTCACATTCATCATCACTAGTGATAAGCTCAGTGTCAGAAAAAGCCTTTACTGTAGAAAGCCAGTTTCTTAATCTTAGTGTTTTGATGTTGATAATGTCATAGTCCAATGCATGGTTATCAGTTTCATCATCTGCATCATATTGGTTGCACTTTGTGCAGCTTTCTTCAGGACATCTTTCACTGGAGCTGCCAGATGCTGTTTCATTTTCTTGCTTTTGGTTGCCAGTTGCCATTAGCAACTGTCCAGATGGTAAAACTGAAGCCGCCTGGGATAGACTTTTCCGCCTACAAGAATAACAGGGGCCTTTGTATGATTTCTTGTTCCTTGCAAAGTTGGTGCATCCTGAACTCCATCCATTTCCAGCCATTTGGCAATCAGAGACATTGTCTAAATAATTAATACCTTGTAAGTAAGATAGTTGACAGACAGAATTGTAGATATTGCAGTGTTCACAGATCGATGGGCAATGACAAATGGATGGAAGCATGAATAGATAGGAATKTGGATGGCAGGAAAGTGGGAAGGAATGGAATGTAAAGGATTTAACAAGTTTAGGTTATTAAAGAAGTACATATAATCTTTTACCTGTTAAATTCATATCATAGTTGGTACTTCCTGAAAATCCACTATCAGTGTTTGTATTAGCTGTAGATCTTCTTCTTAAAATATCTTTTTTGAACATCTCAGACTCTTGGAAAACAAAGTGCGTYACATCACGGGAATCTTTTCCTTCAATAATTCTCTCAATTTCTTTTGTTGTCAAATTAGTTTGAAGAAAAAGATGAAGAGCAGCTTCAGACAGGCAAGTTGTTGTATTCACCAATCTAAAGATAAATGATAACATGATAAACTACAATTCATGAATTAACAACAAGACATATATTTATCACATTTGATACCTTGTTAAAAATTGTTCTAAAGAAGCTCTCCTGTCCTCTATAAAACCTTGACTAAAGCGATTACCAAACACTTTTTTATTTGGAAATGGAGGTAAATCACTGGWGAAGAAATGACTGAACTTAGTTCACAAAGATATAAAATCATTCACAATGTATAATATTTGTGCTCTTTCTACAGACCCATATTTGAATCTGTAATATTATAACTAACTCACCTTGTTAATGAATTACATTTTCCCAAAGTTCGTTTCAGCCATGCAACTTCAGAGTATCTCCGCCGTACACTAGAATTTTGATTCATAAATGCCCTGTTTCTTGTCTGTAAAACAACATTGTGCTATTTACCACATGAGTTATAAATTATTAGCCAACTAATAACTTTCACAAAAAGAAGCACCTACCAAAACTCTTATTTCATAATCAGTGAAGGACATCCAAATTTTCTTTACATGTGTCCTTGGATTTCGTACTTGAATAATAATATCCTGAAATTAATTGAGAATTTTTATTACAAATTAAGTATTAGGTGCGCCCCATTAGTCATTGAAGGGGGGGGGGATTTAGTCATTGAGGGGGGGGGGGGGGGAGATTTCATCCATGCAAGAATTTCTTTTTAGGATTTCATGCACATGCTTGTAATTCTTTTTGGAATTTACAAAAAGCTTTAGTGCAGATTTTTAAAAATTTTGCCTTGCAGGAATTTTTTTTCAAAATTCAAATGGTTCAAGAGATCACGTGTACTTCTGCACACAGCCCTCTTAAGGTCACATTTATTTTTTCTATGTTCATGTTATTTCAGGACAAACAGCTGTTTTTACAGAWTAGAAGTGCAATAAGCTATAAATACAACCTAGAGTAGATCTAGATTTAATACGTGTTTAAAGGACATGGGATTGCATCAGACGCCTACTCTGTAGTGTTAGTTTACAAACAACGTGAAACCATTGCCGCGTATCTTTCATGGCAAAATTCTAAAATAAGTTGCCTAATAACTGGTAACTTTTACTGCGAATAAACTAAACCAAACTCATAATTCATATATTAATAGAAAAGGCGTTCAGTAATGTTCCAAACAAGTCAACAAGTCAAATTCTATTAAAATCATAAACTCATCTAAATAAAATGGAATCTGTCATGGATTAGCCAAAATCAAGGCAAGTACGAATCAAGTTTGATTCCTTTAACTAAAAGAAAAACGTCAGGAGAGTGACAGTTCAGTTACATTGATATATAGAAACGGTGTTATTAAAGATAAAAGACAAGTTTTTTGACAAAGATCGTAAGCAAAACTTYTTCTCGAAKACCTCGAAGGGTTTTCGTATTCAAGCTGCTGTTTTTTTTCTTTTTTTGCCGATTATCATTAATTCTTAATTATATCAAAGACACAAGTACTACCTTTACCTCGTGCTCTTCCATACTGAAATAAGTTAACTTAAAAAGGTCATACCAGCTTCCTCAGTTTACAGCCCATAACACAAATGCTRTGCAAGGCTACGTTGTCTTGTCGGCCGGATTCAACACAAGGGATCAAAGTCCCAATAGATTTCTGTCCGTGGGAGGGAAGGGGGATTAAGTGAGGCCTGGCTGGGGGAGGGTAAATACGGATATAATATCTGTTATTAAAATGTAATATAATTTGTCTTGTTTGAAATGAAATTCAATAATGTTTCGTGGAATCGATTTCTTTAGTTATATCTCCTTTAACCAAACTGTTCTTTGTTCTTTTTCTATTACATTTTTTTCTTTTATTCAAAGATTGTGTTGGGATTCCTGTGGTTTGTGATGTAAACAAGACTGGATAGAAAATGATCCATTGCATCAGATATGAGGTAGGTCATTTTTCTCCTTTTGATTGCATTTTCCATTGATTTTGGAGTTTTCAGTTAGGTTTATTTATATTAATTTCCTATTTCTCACCCTCAAATTTGGGAGAAATGAAAAAAAAATCGGTTTTAATCTCTTGTTTTTATTGCGATCATTGCGACTATAATATTTCATATAACGCGAAATGTGTTCTTTGAATTTCTTTCAATCTAAGAATTTTTTTTTTCCATTAGTTGAACTTCGAAACCTCTTAAGYATGCTTGAAGGCAATGGACCACGAGCTTACTCGGAAAAAAATCAGYATGATCATAATGATCAGTTTGTTGAAAATGGATACTTCGTCACTATCATCCATGGAAGTTATTTTTCTTCAAACTCCACATCCCGTTCAGAGAAATCTTCTTCAGTAAAATCAAATCAAAAGGGGTGTCTTCAGTCCGATGGCTTTCGATTTGTTCAACCTGTTGCACTGAGGTCTTTCTGCAAGTTCTTTTTTTCACATCAAGGAGTTCCAAATTGTGATAATGCAGCGAGTAACTTCAACTATAATTTGTGGTACTTCCAACTGAATTATGCCTTGTTGTTGGCACTAGTTGTATTAGTAGCCATGCAGTGGTAAGCTTTTTTTTACTTGGCATATTTAATATACAATTGTTTCACTCATGATCATCTGTACACAGATAATCTGATTTGATCTGCAGGATTCATTGTCATCAGTTCACCTTAGAGGTCTGCTTTACTCTTGTGGTGCTGGCAATACTATACATGTTGGGCAATGGGGGTTTTCAAGTRAACGCATTAGGTAACTACTTTCTTATTCATTTGTATCATTTGTAGTCTTCTGCATGCAGACTTATCAAATCAATCATTTCTATAACTTTTTTTTATTCCGACATATTTCCAGGGTTACATTTATTTTCATTTATTTGCTGCTGAAAAATTATTTTCTATTCTTGATAATTATCTATGTTTGTTCTATTTTGTTTTCTATCATCCAGTTTTTTTTTCATTTCATCATGTGATTTTTTTAAAATTCTGTTTTATCTAGTATATCGTCTCATATTTTATCCTAATCAYATTACTACAATGAGAATTACATTCATACTATACAGAAAAAGGATTGGAAATATCCCAGTCTAATTTTATTATGATTGTATTCTTTCTTCTATTTCATACTATTCTTCCTATTCTGTCTTCATTTACTCCATTCTATTCATGGATTTCTTATTCATTTTGACAATACAGGTCGTAAAATAAGACTTTCAGAACAATATGCTGCAGTAATTACATTCATGGTTCTCTACAATGGATTTCTTCCAGAAGCGTTTGACTTCATATACGTTTTTGGTACGTGTTTATGCATTCTTTTATTCTTTTATTCTTTACTGTGAAAACAAAGAAGCCTCATATTTCTAGATATTATCTCATTATTTTATTTAATAATTTGTGTGTGTAARGATATTTACATACAACTTGATTTATCAAACCTAAGTGTGCTAATAAAAAGATATATAAATACAAAGAAATATGACAATAAAATATTAAATATTAATTAAAATACATTCAATTTATACAGTAGCCACAAAATAATAGGCTTCATTAATATTAACCATTATTTCATTATTCTAAAATGTTTTTATTTTAGGTGGATATATTGTTTTTGTGGTCACCCATGCATCAATCAACCATCATGCTGAATATCCAGTTTACCATATTTGAGTGTACTCTCTGCCATAAAAATCTTAACTATCTTTCCAAAGCTAAAGGTCTGCTTATGGAAATGGATTTTAGATTTTATAAAATGTAGTAAATGGCAGAGCTTAAAAAAATAATTTGCAACTGTATACAGTGGTACTATCTGTAGTTGTTAGGTGTTACTGRCAGATGGTAGACACCACCCTGGTCTCCAGCTAATGTTGTATAGTGTATCTTCCTTTTGAAGTTGAAGATAAATGATTTTAAGAAAATATTTCCATATTGCTTTCAAAAATGCAATGTTTTCCAGTTTATAGCATGAAAGCTACATAAAAGTTTTTATGTGTAACAGGCAGTAAAAAAAATAATTATTAAATTCAAAATTCAGATTTTGTCTTTGGATTGTTTCTTTTAAGAACTTAATAAATGTGCTTGCCCATTCCAACTTTATCAATTTCTTCACAAACTGCCTGTAAATTTAGAAATGTAAGAGTTAGAGTTCATTATTTTAGTATTAATTTCAATGGGAATCATAATATAATTTATGTTAGAAAAAATCTTTCTTTGGCATCATATATAATTATACATATATGCTTAATCAAATGTAAATAAAAATGACCATTAACTTCCTAGGGACTCTTATGCTTGATGCTAGTGGTATCCACTCAAAATCCCAACTTTCAAACCAGTTGCCTTATAATATTCAATATCCGATAAGGACATTGCAGGGCCAACAAATACATAAAATTGTAATTGTGTACCTTGTATTTTTTGGCATATTCCAACACTGTCTTGTCCACTTTTCGCTTCTGTAATTAATTATCTATTTTAAATAAAAGTATTTTCAAAGAATATTTTCAATCATATTACATACCTTCATGAGAACGACAATAACTGCAATGATGTGAATTAATACAAATATAGCAATTGCAGTGAACAGGCAAATTCTGTCAACTTCCTTTTGAATCTTTACTGGCAGAGCTACTACAAGTCCATTTTCAACAGCAATACAGAACAGAAAGACCAAGCCAGAAATAACATACATATCCTGCAAAACACATTATGCATTACATTTTGTCAGTTGAAATATTCTATTACCGATAACCGGAAAGGAACCAACAAGCAGTTCAGTGGTATAGCTTAAATTATAGGGATAACTTTTACATTATTTCATCCATTCTGCTTCAACTTTGATAAAATGGAGTTCTGTCAGGTGTCACATGGAAATTATACCTATTTGCATCTGTGATATGTTACTTGGACAATTGTTTATAGCTTGCTTCAAGGTAGCTACACTAACACTGCATGCTCTGGGCTGGGGGAGTAAGAAATCCATTAATTGGATTCGAGAATTTGAATAGATCAGTAATAACAATATTATTTATAGCAGCGTGCTATATGTAAATATTGCTTTATAATAGATAGTATTTTTTTTCATACCAGCAAGGTGAGATATGATATTGTTGGTAGACTCTGAGATACCACAAACTTGAAGGCAATAGCTGTCAACAGCAAGGTCAGCGTCACACTTAGTCTGTCAGCAGACTCACTTATTGGCACAGAAAATGAAGTAAAGGACAAGGCTGTAATAAGAAACTGTGAAAAAGTGGAATACAGTAAACACCGGCAATTAATCAACTACTGTAACAAATATATAATCGACTCAGAATTCACAATGCAACTGTAACTACAACTAATATGCATTTTTGTGCAATCCTCTAATTGAGTTCTGTAAATTAAGCTTAGATAAGAACCTACTTGAACATTGGAGTAAACAGCTTGTTATTAATTAAAAGGGCATTAAAATTGCAAAATTCTTAATCCACTAGGTTCTTAATTGCAGGTGCAATTAATGCTTTCAAGAGAGTATAAAAAGTCAATAATTACAAATAGGACTTGGATGCTATATAGTAATTTGACTTACAACAATCAAAGCAACATTCCACAAGTAAAATCCATTTTTCCTCCTGACAAAAGCTTTTATATGATACATTGGGTAGTTATTATTACTGCTTGCAGTGCTATGTTGTGTGCTTTCTGATATTGTGACAACAAACCGCTGTAGGTTCCACTGCTGGACTGCTGTGAATGTCTCTGGACGAATCCAGTCTTTTCTCTTCATATCTTTTTGAAATTTGACCATTTTATCTGTCCAGTCTGACATCAGGGTAATAGTTAGCTCCTGAAGACAAAAATTTGAACAACCTTTACACCAAAGTGTCTCAGGAAGCTGTCCACCCTACTTTAAGAAACCTCCCTTAACTCCTTGAATTCTATTACAATAAAATATCAGTTCACGACATATGGCACTGGAATAACCTGCAGGTGCTTGATGTTATATTTAGTTAAAGAGTAGTCAACTATTTCTTTATCCAAAATCTTTGGAAAATGGGATACATATACTAGGATATTTTGGATAAACAGACTTTTTCATTTTCTAGGGGATAGACATTCACCTGGTAATCGAGAGGGAAGTGATCAAGTTCTAAATTTTCTCTGAATGTTCCAAATATTCTAAATGTCTCATAAGCATATGGTATATCATCCTCRTCTTCTTCAATGAATCGCCGCTTTTCCATTTTATCAATAACAAGAGCATTGAAGAATACTATCCTTGGATGCCATTCCTGGCTCCAGTCAATATCCTGTTGAAAATAAAAAAAACAATATTGACAACCTGGTAATGATYGTGATTTGTTATAATAGTTCTAACTTCACTTGAATGTTTCATGCATGGTTTGGTAAACTTGGATGTGTAAAAGATGTGTAAAAGGAGAAGGATAAATGGACAAGAAATGGTTGATTAGCAACTGACTGTTGTTTACACTACCTCGTTTTTTCTTCCCTTTAGTCTTGGTTCTTTCCACTTTGCAGCAACAAAAATGTCACAAGTAAATTCCTGTTTTACTGTGTCAATTTCTCCAATAGAGATTATACTGGTTCTGATTAGGACTGTTACCTTAACAATAAAATTGTTAAATTATTATTTATTAGTTGAAGTTTTGCACACATGTCCCACTTGGAATGCAGGGGGAACACAGGGAACCYACTAGCATTGAAAACGAAGAATGGCAGCTTTCGGTATCTGTAATAGCGCTGACACGCTACCAACATACGATTAACAAAGAATAAAATACACCAAATATGCGTGTTACTCTCTAAAATACAAAGCGATTCAATGGAAAATATATAAGCTTAAAGCTTAAATAATAATAAAGATTTTCCCCATTTTAGATAGCGATCTTTTACGATGATATATTCTCAATGTGATGAATGAATATTCGCGATACATGAATATTGTAACTCAATGTTGCATCTACTAATTAAAGGGATGTGGTTTACCAAATCCGATGAATCTCTGAAGACCAGTTTCTGTTCATCGCTAGACCTTGTGTTACCTTCAATGTCTTTTAAATAAGTTTCAATTACTTCAAGTCTTGAGAGAACTTCAGAGAGATCAGTAGTGCTTCTATTTGAAGTTTGGCCGCTCTCACTAACTTGTATTTCTCGCACGGCGCCAGACATTTCGACTTATATTTAGTCTATATAATATAAAATACAAAAAAGTTTAAGTGAAAGACGGTAAACAACAAGAATTTGACAGATTCTTGACACGAAAACAAACACTAACCTGGTATCTATGCAGTTGTGGTTTCTGGGCTACCTGTTTACTAACGCCAGCGAGCAGTAAAATATTCAGCGGTGACCATGCGCCAAAGTCGGAATGACACGAAACCAAATTCAATATGGCGGCTTTTTCTAACATTGCTGAACTTCTCTTTCACATGTAAATACCTGGTGTAACTTGAAATTCGATTTTAATAGCTCGCTATAGATTCTTCGTCATCTTTTTTATTCTATATTTTATGTGAATTCGTCGAACAAAATGTTTCCATTGGGCTAAACGCCCCAGATTCTCATGGAGTGATCAAGATTGTTGTAGTGTGGTGTTTGGCGCACAACGTACAGTACTTGCATTGTTCATATTCCCGCCACGTTGTGTCAGCTTGTGAGCGAACTAAACAGTCTTCAGTTTTTTGGGTTTGTTCGTTGATGGATTATCATGATCCAAGCGAAGGCTCCTTTACAAAGTGATGGTGTAAAGTACGTCGAAATACCAAAGGGATGGAGAAGAATCTTGGAAAATGGCTCTATTCATTACATAAGGTTCGAGGAAATGTGCATTTTGCTTAATTTAATTATCATAATTTAGTTTTTTCATCAACATTTACTACAGTAAGCTTAGGTTTTCCTACTTGAAGTGTCCTTTGCTTGTATAAAGTTTCAATTTTGAAGCCGACGAAGCCTGTAATTGTTACGACTTCATGCTTGACCAACTCAAAGCCTAAACGGTAACAGCATAGTAACACGTTGTTTTCTGTACAAAGCTTTGATTTATTATTATTACAACAATTATAAACTGGAAATTTTTAAAACTGTTAGATATATATTCTCATGTGATAATTTATCAGAGATTTATTAATACCAATGTGTATGATGGTGATAAAAGTGATGATGATAATTGAAATGATAATTATTATACAAGATACAATATTTTAAAAATATTATTATTTGATGCAGTGCAAAAAACTTTATTTTGTATAATTTCACTTGTGAAGAAAATTATCAAATTCAATTTATTTATTTAATTTATTTATCTGTATTTATTTTAATTGTAGTTTGATGACTTGCAAAACAAAGATGTTTGTTTTATCAAATTGTATAAACCCTATTGATTGTTGGCCTTTGAATACTGATTATAATCCTTTATTCCCTTGATGCAGCCCAAGTAGCAGCTATTTAAAGTCATATGAGAATATAATAGACTACCTGAAGAAAGATGGTACATGTAAGTGTGGATTGGATTGCCCATTCCATGTTCACCGCGTATTCAACTTTGATACAAGTGTACAGAATAAAGAACAAAAAGACGATTTAATCAATAGCGAAAGTCATTCATCAACATGCAAGCTTTGTGACAGCAACTGGCAAAATGGAAAGAGTTTTGTTGATTCCAGGCTGTTACAAAAGCCTATCAACCAGACATTAAAACCAACAGCCAAAAAACCACAACAGTTTTCTTTCGATAGCAGTCTCAACAAAAAAGGTACTTGGTATTTGTGAAATTGTAATAATTTTATGAAATCTATAAACATTAATATTTCAATTATATATGCATGGATATTGTATATCATTAAACATTTGAGACATCTAGTTCTTAGAATAATGAGAAATTAAGGAATCATAACCAACCGCCATACCTTGCGTGCTCGTATTATTGTTTACATACGTTTAAATGCGTCAAGCATACAGTAGATTACAGATTTTTAGTACCTGTGAGGTACTTGGTTAAAGGTATTTCTGTCAAAAGTGAAAGGACAGAAGAYGATTYGCGCTCACTTTAAGAAATCCTACGAATCCGCCATTTTCGTGTCCACCTAAAATGGCGCTTCGGCTCGCTAGGTACGGCGGTTGATTATGATTCTTTAAGGGTGGATATCTTTCCCTTAACTCACCTTCTTGAAGTTATGTACTCAGTTTACCTAATGAAATAAATCCTCTTGATAATGAGGTTAGTTACCTTAAAACATACTGATCTGTCTCCACTGCTAAGTGATGAAGGTGATGATGAACAATAATCTATAAGAACCTCATAATTTATGAGGCAAAATGTACACACCTAAGTCAGTAAATGTCTGGTGGTCATTTTCAAATAGAATTTACATTTGTGTGTTGTAAAATACTTTGAAAACCTCAATGTTTAACATGATTTCATACTTGGATATCAATGAAAAATAGTATTGCCACTCAGCTTGAACCAATCTTCAGATGCTATTTGTCTCATGGTAAGTGGATGTCTGTGATGTGAAAGTGTAACAAGATTTTATTGTTGTTSTTTTTCAGTTGTAAATCGTTCTCGTGCAAAATTGGCTGATGGTCCCAAGGCAAAAAAACCTAGAAAAGTGTCAAGCCCACTATCTGACATCCCAAGCCCTCCTCCTATACCAATAAGTAGTCCTGTACAAAATGTTCCTAATAATCTTGGTGCTCTTAATCAAGGGCCTCTTCCAAGTTTTGCCAGTATTGTTAGCAGTTCTAAATTCTTCAATCCAGGACCAAATAGAGGGCCACTTCATCCTACAGGATCAGTACCACTTCAGGGCAATAATAACTTTTCTTTCCCTAGAATTCTTACTCCAGATATTTCAAAAAGTGTGACAGCCACATCACCCAATACTGGAGTAGTAAACATTATGACTTCAAGTGGTGCATTCACAAGCACGGCAACAGGTTATACAACAGCATCCAGCACTATAATGACAAAGGCTGCAGCACCAAAAACAGCAGTGACCAAACCTACAACAGATAAAATTGCCTCAGAAAGTACTGCAGCAGTGACAAATACTGTAATGACAAGTTCCGTGGTGCCAAAGACTATATCCAGTACTGTGTCTGTGGTACAGAATACCACTTCTCAGTCTGACAAAAAGTTGACTGTAAAGGATACAAGTGCCAGTTCTTTGTTAATGGCCACATCACAAAGTACTAGTATATCCTGCAGTGTATTACCAAACATGGTTAGCAATGCTGTTTGCTTAGTAAAAACCATACCTACTCCAACTATAACAAACAATAAAACAGTTATTATGCCTATAATAAATACACCAACATTGCCAAGTGTATTCGCTCCACTGGATGGTCTACCAACTACTGATACTGTGAAAAGCAAACCACCTCCCAAGACAAAGAGATCTAGACCCTCAAGAGCTAAGCCCAAGCCTAAACCTGAGATGAAGCTGGATGACAAATCTAAAATGGTCAAAATGGTTGGTAGCACTCCAGCAATGATGTCATCTGGAATCTCTACTCACCCTGTTCCCAGTCATTGGCCAATGACAATTAGTCATGTACCTTATCAAACACCAAGTACCACAGTAGTTTCAGCTGTTAATAGTACTTTATCTGTTGCAAGCTCACATACAGCAGACAACTTATCACGTCCAGCCATTCCACAACAAGTAGCAATGCCATCACCAATTTACATGACAACAAATCATTGTCAGAAACAAGGACAGACAATGCAGATTTCATCGCCACCAGTACCTAACCTTCAGGTAGCACAACCTCCATTAAATCCGAGTAGTAGTGTTGGTAGTGATAGTGCAACTAGTGCTCCTGTTGTTACCCCAACTAACACATATTCAGTAGTGGCAACACCAAGAATTCAAGCCCCACCTGGGATGATGTATGTAGCTGCAGCTCCTGGTGTTGGGATGTTTTCACCAACATATCCTTACACAACTGGCACTCCACAGCTTCAGATAACTCAAGCATCAGTAAGCCAACAGAATAAAACAGCTTTGACAACAACTCCTGTAGTAACTACCAGCCAACAGACAGTTACACAAGGAATGACAACTGAGAGTGCACAAGGAAAAATTACCTACCAAGTTCCTGGTATGTACGTACAAGGAACATCAGCAAATCAAATGTTTCCAGTAAACTCGCAAGGATTTGGAGTTAATCAGTACAAAGTGCCATATCAACTCCAGAATGCTATATATCCAAACGCTGGCAATGCCATGACATTTATAACACCCAATGGGGCAAAGGCAACATATCCTGGGCTCCAAACTGTTGCTACTGGAAATATTGGACAGTTTGCTTATCCTAATCCATACATGTTTGGTATTGTCATGCCAACCACAACAACTCAACAGTCCACATCTTCCAGTACATCAAGTACACCRGGGACACCAACCAGTGTWACAACTTCACTTCATATGATACAACCTCAAAGCATACAAAACCCAGCRGTTGCAGCAGCATTTGAGTCCTTTGTGCCAATTGCRCCAGCAGCAGCTGGGGCTACACCAAGGTTTGCACAAACACTAGCTCACCTTGCCAGTGCCTATAATACTTTCCCTCAAGCTGGACTTGTTCAAGGAACTAACCATTTACAGCTGGCCTACCAAATGATGCAAATGAATCCTCATGGYAATGGCCAACAGATTGCAAATCTTGGCGGATTGGGGACTGCTGATGCTGTATCAAAGCATCCAACAACTTCATCAGGCAAACAGTGTTCATCTGATTCAGSCAAAGGAAGTAGCAATACAAAGTCCAAAGCCTCATCCAATTCTCCAGCCTCTAATTCACCATCCACTCCAGTGACACAGGATAATGGAGGACCATTTGCCTCCTTGAATACCACAACCCCATCAACAACGCCTTCAYCACATTGTACATCTACTASYGCTTCAGCATTTCAGCCTCAACAAGTTGTAACGTCGGGCCACARTCAACAACTGCAGGAGAAATTAATAGATTGTCCCAGTGAGAGCAAGAACACAAAAAYTCCAGACCAACAATSTATGGATAATGATAGTGAGACTGATGGTGAATGGAAAGCAAATAGCTTGTGTGTTGCTGGAGCAAAGCAAACTACCAATGGACCCATGACTACAGATCAAAGTGAGTCAACGAGTCCTTCCCATAATATCTCTCCATTATCAAAACAGAAAAATACTACTCTGTCTGAAATTGATGCTTCCAAACCATCGTCAGAGAMTGAATCACAGAAGTATCAAGCTGTGAATGCTAATAAAAGTCCTCTTAGAACTGGAAATGTTTTTGAACAAAACACTGTGCATCCTATTGAAAATTCAGGACAAGCAAATAGTCACTTTTCAAAACAAGAATTTCAGTCATATCAAAGTGCTCTTGAAACTAAAGCACCTACCAATACAATTGACAATAGAGAACCTATGAAATCACCAAACTTTGTGGATAAGGTGAATTATTATGAAACTAACCCACTTTTAGGCATGAAGCGGTCATGTGAAGCTATTGAAGTTTACCCAGACCCCCCTGAACATCTAGATGARGAAGATAAAGAAGACTTTTACAGTTCAAATGGCGAAAGCCCTGAAGGAAATGTTGCAACAAGTGAATGCACGTTAGACCGCAGACATGGTATGGRCAGTATTAGACAGTGAAATTGTAACTGTGTATAGTGAGTGTAGACTCTATCCAATAATCATACACATCACCTAAATTTATTTTTATATTTTATCTGTTATTCTGATCTTATACGTATTTACATGCAGTCTATCCCTCAGCTTATATAAATGTCAAACATGGCACTAAAAACTGTTAGGGGTAGACTCATACCTCATTTTGTATTTATATTTGTAGGATTTTTTCTTCTTCTTTATTTTGGAAAAATGATTCAAAAGTCAGATTTTGAGAAATTCTGGTAATTTGCAATCAAGATTTATATTTAAAAATTTCATAATCTGATCCATTATGTACTCAGTTCTATAATTCGATCAGGTTTTCAGATGTTAACATTTAAATTGTAACATAATCCCATTTAATGGTAACATTTGTTGTATATGAACAATAAATCAGTAATACACATCTAATAAGTAACCAAATTAACATTAAATTTTGTTGTGATATTTATTTTCTACTAATATAACTAAATGAGAAGTAAAAAACATCACATGAGAAAAGAGACATGTGTACTTTAAATACATGAAATAAATATAGAAAAAGTGAACAATGTGTTGGTTTTAATTGAAACCATGGCAACTTGGATGATATGAGCAAGAATGAAATCAAAGCATTTTACCTCTGAGCACACCAACCAATAAAATTACATAAAAAGAGAGCTTGAGTTTTTGTATTTTAATGCTTTGTTTTCATTCTCAATCATGATTGGCTCATGTTATCTTAGTGGACATCGTTTCAGCAGTTACATTGTGAAGTATATGCAAAATACTGCAGTTGCTTTTATAGAATGTGGCATACATTAAATATGATATTTCATGTAAACAAAAAAGCCATGAAAGAAAATTTGATATTTGAATCTTATTTTACAGATCTTGTCTAACACATATGAGCCATAAAAGCAATCAATAAATTATCATAGTCTCATTTTGTTAGAATCCTATGAAAGTGCAACTGTTATTTGCATATATGTCTGTGCTATTGTAAGGATATTGATTTAGTTGTGGATGGTGTTGTATTTAGGTGATARCAGTAGCATAGAAGACTCTTATAAAGCTGGAGCAATTCAAAATGCTGCTAAGGGACTTCACAATGGAGGATGTAATGCTGCTCATAGTGGTAATAGGAATGATATTCCCTTCATCTTTGATTCACAGTGAAATGGCAAACACAGTTACTGTCTTTCAACATGGTCACTTCAAATCCTTKTAATTTATGATACTTTCTTGGACTTCCATTTTGAATGTTAGATTAAAACAAACACTCTTTTTTGAGTCAGGAATTCCAATTATACATTACAAGAGAGAGTCTTTCAATTGAAGTTCTAAGGTTAAATTCTCTTATTCTCACCAGAACAAGACACATTTCATGGTTCAAGTGTCAAGCCCAACATTGCYGCTGAACCTTACCAATCTGATGTGTTTGGAGATCTTMMCATRCCCAATGTAAGACCACACTTTGATATWGGTGATATTGTATGGGCTCAGGCTAGAGGACTTCCATCATGGCCTGGCAAGATAGTAGATGAAAATAAAGTRGGAAAAGGAAAGGCAGATGATGGAAAGGTACATGCAACTTGGTTCTTGTTTACATTACTGGYTATTTCTTGCACACCTGAGATACTAGTTTTTTGATTATTATTTTTGTTACAGGCTCTTTTGATCATATCCAAATGCAAATTTGCAGCAAGAAACATAATTTAAATCATTATTATCATTTAGTAACTCAGAAAAATTCTAAACTAATCACTAACTTACAATACTACTATTGCTTGACCTGGTTGCAAATTTGATACCATTGATTTTACACTTGATATATGTTGTGAGTACAATAAATTATTGTTTATAGAAATGGGTGATGTGGTTTGGAGACCACACTTTCAGTCAAGTCGAAGTAGATCGTCTTAAGACTCTTAATGAAGGACTTCGTTCATTGGATGACAAAACAAGAAAAAAGAAGTACAGGTATCCTACGTCTATTGTCCCTCTGTTATGTGCCTTCTCAGGATAAGAATATGAAAATCAATTATTTAAAAGTTCTTCTGCTGTATAAAACAATAACTCCTTCATAAATTCAGATTCAATTTCTGTTACGATAAGGTATTATCTTACTAGATGAGTATGATATGAGTTTGATAATGAAAATTAATTGGTATCTTAATAGGGCTAAAAAGACAAGAATTAGTTTGGAACAAGCAATCACTGAAGCTTTGGAAGAGCTAGAAATGGTGAGAATTCATTTTTAAAAGAGAGTGCTGGGAGAGGACTAAAACATTTTATGCTAGAAATAGGATTTTATGCTAGAAATAGGAGGATTATTGTTACTGATGACTGATACCATTTTGTTTCTCTCAGAGAGAACAACTGAAGGCAAGACAAGGTGAGATAAGCATCATTCATTAAATGATGCCATGGTAACTATGATGATGATAACAATATTGATAATAAGGTTCCTATTAGGATAATGATGATTGGGTGATTTGGATGATGTTAATCATGATACTGGTAATGACAGTAGTACCACTTTGATCACTTTGACTCATTTCCGTATTTCTGTAGGTGTGAGATCTAAAGGCAAGAAAAAGCGTCTGCGATGAGTATGGGGAACCTTATAGTACCTGCAATGGATTCGCAATATCAGTGAATTTGTAAATATAACATGGCTGCTGTCAATTGGAGTTTATTTCTTTTGCAACTTGCAATTTACATTATGTGGCATAAGTGGTTTCTACAGAAAATTTCCACWGAACATTGCAAGCCACTAGTAAAAATTGCATAGTCGAGTACTTGTACAAGGAATAGCAAGACAGATATTTGTTTTCACWTTGTGAGACAAATAAAAGCTAGGAAAAAACGAATAAATTATATATTTGTAAATCATTTTGTAAAGCTAGGTCATTGGGCTAATAATATTGTAGATATCGATTGTGTGGAAAGTGTTTTCAACACATTAAAAAATGCCCAAAACTGTGCTTTGTCTAGAAAGTGAATGTCTTAGAAGTTTGAAATAAACTTTTTATGCTCTTTTTAAAGTAGATTTTCTGAAGAGATATATACGTCTTTAAGTGCTTTAGCCAGAGTGAGGCTTACTTTTTACTGCACAACGAGGACATTGTCATTTTTCATCTCCTATGAGTAAAGGAAAATGACTATCTATGAAAACTTGGAATTTAAAGTATTAAACAGTCTCGGCGATTACATAACATGTATTTAATAGACAGAAAATCACTATAAAATGAATGGAAAAGAGTCGTGACATGCAGACCACACGCAAACCATGCCCCATTTTACGTTTTGATGATGTAAAGCGGGAAATAAAGGGTGTGGCTTTGAGTCAAGGTTTTTTTATGATTTGCGGTTATAATAATATTGGCAAAAAAATGTCAATTGAATGGTTTTCGCGGTAGAAATACAGTACAGACTATCAGTACAGCAACAGCCAAGCAGCAAGTATACTCTCGATTGTTTCGGCATTTCCATGGAATAGCCATAAGGTGGAAGTCAAACAATAGTTGATACACTTTGATGACAGGCTTGCCTTTAGGCGCACAAATATGACCAGAAAACCTTAGTTAAGACATACTAGAATAATACAGAAAAAGTCACCTAGAAAAACCTGGGCGAAGATCCTAGGCTAGGAGTTTCAGTTTCAAGCTCCCTCCCCATAAAAACCTATCAAGGCTAATATAACTATTTGATACCAACTGTATTTCATCTAAGTAATTAAATTAAGAAYTCATACTCGTTGATACTAGGGTAACTTGACATAACGTTATTGGACATTTCCAGAAGTACATAATGTAGAGAAGAATACATTATTTACAGAATACATTATGTACTTCTGACATTTCTTAATCAGTCATGTTGTTTGATAATTACGGTAAACATGTAATATATCCAAATGAATTCAGATGTGAAAATGTCAGAACCAACTGTACTTGGATAAAGTAAGCGTCGAGTGATTTTGAATTGGTCAGTCTCGGTATTGCCTATTTTTGACTCACGGAATTCCAGCTTTGCTGTAATCACGACCGCATGCATTGAAATCACTGAACCAAACTTCTCACAAGTAAAGTTCATAGTTTAGGAATGTTTGCAAAGTAAATAAATACACACAAAAATGCAAATTTGTTCTTACAATGCTTAAACATTCAAACAGCGCGGCAAGGCAAGTTTAACAAAGCATTGCACATTTTGATGAAACGTTTACTATCTCGGTGACTCTTCCTTTACATTGCGCGCCAATACATTGTGAAACAGATGGAATRGTGATTTCCCGACACTAAATTCCTGACTTATTCCAGTATAGATGGGAGCATACCTTCKGAGAAGATCCTTGATCACCCTTGCCGTTCTTATTTTAATGATCGCTACTTACAGCTTTACAAATATGATAGACCTATATAGCACAGGTAACGATGAGCAACATTATGATTTGTAAGTAAAAATTCATGCGATCTCTCTATTAACTATGATGCGTTTTTTATCAAATTTCTCTRGCAGAGTTCAAGAGCATTCATACGAATTCCATTGTTCATAATTTTCAAGAAGATCGTCATATCCAATCGGAAAACAGTGAAAAATACGAAAACATAAGTAAGAAAAGACCACAAGAACAAGCAACAACTAGCAATTATAATGCTGAGCATCACCAAATACTGGAAACAAAGAAGAAGATTGAAAAAGACAGTCATGCTAAGTACTGCGGTAATGGTTGGCAAGAAAAATACGCTCGCCTCCATAGCAACATTCTTGCTTCCAAACAGCTAGAAAGATACCTTGYATATAATTGTCCAGGAACTCAACAAGGCTGTTGTGGTTATGGCAACCGTTTACGAGCTTTAGTTTCAATATTTTACTTAGCAGTKTTGACTGACAGAGCTTTCCTGATTGATTGGATTGYTCCGGAGCCAATCGAGAACCACCTCAAGCCTAATCAAATCCAATGGAATTATTCTGCACCGTTAGACATTTGCGAAGGTCCCGACTTCCGTAACCACTATTGGGGAACTGCTAGTGCCGACAAAAAGAGAGCAGAGGGCTGGATTATACAAGATAGTAAACACTTCCGAAACTGGTTTGTTTCGACAAATCTGAGTCGTTATTTTGATCAACCTGTTGAGAAGATCACTACTATCTGGTATTTYGTTAATGGTGGAATCGATAGCAATCCATATCTAATGACACGTGCCAAGCAACTGGGAATTACTCCGTTATTATCKCCAGGCCCTAAATACTCTCTAATACGATGCGCTTTCGATTTTTTGTTTCAACGTTCAAATCTTGTCGAGAGCCACCTTAAACRATGGAGGAGTCWACTGCACAAATCTAAAGGACCAACGATTGGAATACACATCAGAACAGGTGATAAACAGTTTAACTACAACGCACAGATGGATGATAGATCTTTAAATCTACGAAACACATCAAATTTGAAAGAATTCTTTCGGTGCGCAAAGCACATTGAACAAACAGTTTTCAAAGACGCAAAGACAAGCGATACCCAATGGTTTCTTGCAAGCGATCATATCAAAGTCAAGCGATTTGCTACAAAATACTTTCCTGGAAAAGTCATCACCACAAATCTCTCAATCCAGCATTTAGATATTCTTTACAATACCACAATATTCAATGAWACTATAGARTGTAATTTCACGACAGGTGTAAATGGTTCTGCGATATGTTACAACATTGTGCCCTTCAATAAAACTGAATACTGCGCAAATCGCACTAACATTACCAATACAAACTTCACGGCAGATGCAAACRGTACACACAAGTTTACTGAAGGAATCATAGGTATGTTGGTAGACCACTTCATTTTAAGTGAATGTGACTTCTTGATCGTATGTGACAGCAGTTTTAGCTCGACAGCGATTGGTTTAGGAATGAAGGACACCGACTCGTTTGTTTTTGGTAACCGCCATTGCCTGGACTTCAAGAGAGCTCAGAAAATTAAAAAAATTGGATATTTTAGGCGAAAACGTTCGGCAACAAACTACACTCCGGGGTAGCCTAAGGAGTAAGTTAKTTCACATACTTTTTTTACGGTGATTAAATTTATCTTTTTACACAACATATTCAACTCTGATCATTGTAAAACTTGATATGAATGSCCAACCATAAATCCAGTATGGGCAGGCTTTGTAAGCCATGGACTTTTCCTTTTCTAATAAAAAGCGTAAAGTTTATGCTGCATCATCTAAACTTGTCTTGCATATAACTTTGCTCATAGTTAATAACTATGCTTTGCTATGCGAATTTCCGTTGACTTTTTGATACCATTAAATATCAAATTGGCAACCGTAACTCAAGGAAAGATGGGCGTGGTTGGTGTAAGAATATACAACTGTTTCATCTACGAATTAGGCTTGATTCCAATCAGTCCTCGAGTATTATATATATTTACCTCTTTAAAATATACAACCTTAACCTTTCTAAGCTAGAAAAATAGCTTCTGCACCCTATTTGTCATTCATCATTTAGTTAATCACATATGGTTTCTATCRTTGCCCACTGGAATTATTCTTAGTATCCAAGAATCTATTAATTGCCTTGGATAAGGAAAAATCAGATCTCTGTTTAATAGTCAATTATTAGAAGAAACTGCAGTGAATCATAAATTGCTGGTGACAATTTCTTGTAGTATTTATGCCTTCCATGATTAATGAATTGTTAACTGAGCAAAACCAATAAGTGCTTTTTCATCTGGGGGCTGATTKGGTGTGTTAGATGACTTCTACAACAAAAAAATTGTATGAGTTCTTACTCAAAAATACGCAAGTAAAAATGCACTTCAAAAACTCACCAGAGCAAATACTAAGATCTTACTACTGGGGGGATTTTCAAGGACTTTCTTAAGGTTAGCAGCAACTAAAACATATAAAGAGTGTAGAAAAGTATTGAAAACACGGAAATTATCTTTTTATCTGAATAACAAAATTCACTTACCCACAACCAAATCTTTACCGTCAATCAAACCAGCAGAAACTAATTCCTGTGAAACCCCTTCTGCAGTATCTATAAATAGATATTAACATGATTCCATGATTCAACAAACAGAACAATGATAACCACCTACCTTTGTCATAACAGAAGTCAAATCGAATATCATTTAATTCACCTCTATCATTTCTGAAAAGAAAGAAATAATGGTTGACAACCTGTTTGTACTACAAATCCATATAACAGAGTCAATGAAAAAAGTTAATTGTTTGGCTCTGTTATCATGATATTACCTTAATCGTAGAGTCAAGTCCAGCTTGGATTGCTGCAAAYTTGTTGGAGCATTCCCTTGTGGGGCTRAAGATTAAATCATATTTCACTGAATGAAGTCCCATCACTGCAGTGATATTTCAATAAAAAAAATAATATTCTTAAATTCAAGTTAAATTATCTTTTACCTTGTTCCTCTGAAGGAGTTGCAGTAGGTTGACTTTGAGGTTTTGGAACGCTATTGCTTTTCTTATTTGTTTTCTAGATTGATAGTATATTATTCATAGTTAATGGCAAGTATTATCATAACAGACTCCCCCTGCATTTAATCAGGTTCATATGTCTAATGACTGTCATGGTGATAGTAGAAATAACAATGGGTGTAGATCCAGGATTTTTCTCAAGAGGATAGGATATACACTATAAATATGACCACAAAGGAGGCACAAAACAAGAGCAAGTATTAAAAGGGTCAAGGCCAAAGGAGTTTGTGTGCACCCCTGTACCCACCAGCTGACAGAAAGCTGACATGTCCTCTAGCCATTCTCTTACTCAGATCTTTCTCAGTTTCCAAACAGAAGATCAAAAGCTCTTGCTAGAAACGATAACAGAATACAATATATGCATACTGATGGCGCATGAGAATCTTTGAACCAATCAAATCAAAACCTCATTTGTCACCAACCAGAGCCTCTGACTTTGGAAACTGAGAAGGATCTGGGTACGAGTCCTCTGTGCTCTCATACCTCTTCACTTTCAGTACTTTTCTTTGAACTCTAAATAAGAAAATCAATAGAATGTTATATAGTATATTCTACATCAAGAATTTTCAWAATGTTTACTACAGAATTGACTGACCTCTCCCTGATTATCATCATGAGTTTCTTCATCTGACCACTCCCAGTTTCCATCTTCTGTTCTGTGCAATCTACCACTGGATCCTGGTACTCGCTTCACCTAAGAAATATATAGTCAAATTGTTCTTGTCATTCATAGAACTACTTATTTTGTTATTTGAGTCACAAATACATTTTTCATAAAATCCTACCTTATGTGACCTTTCATTGAATGGTCTAATAAGAGGAATAAGATTTGTCTTCAAATAATCTTTGTCCTGACAAAGAACAATATAAGTGAAATKAGAAAAAAAATCTACTTAATATTTCACCTGAAGTATTTCAGCATAAAGCACTGGAAAKTTTACCTTTCCTTTCTTGAAGAATTGATTTTTAAGAAGTTCTGTGGCATCAGGTCTGCAAGATGTAATAATGTTCGATAATACATGATTATGAAAATAATGCAGCATGAAACCCAGGCATACCTTAAAGCTGGGTCTTTATTCAAGCAACTTGCAATCAGTTTTTTGAATGATTTACTGTACTTCTTGTATTCTCTAACTCCTTCACTGCCAGTCTCCATGGTGGGTGGGTCATTTTGAAGGGTCAACATTAAAACCTTCAAAAAACATTTAGATGNTAGCAAAGTTTGAAGTACCTTCATTGCTGGGAATTTAGCATAAGGAGCTGTTCCTGTAGCAAGCTCAATGGCTGTGATACCAAAGCTCCACATGTCAGCTTTATGGCCATAGCCATGTATCTGTTCCATTACTTCAGGAGCCATCCAACATGGTGTGCCAACAAATGTCTTGCGCATCTTGGGTTTTGTCCTGTCTCCATAATCACTGATGGCTGAGCTTACACCAAAGTCTAGTAAGCAAACACATAATGCCTTTCATTAGAATCCTCTGCAAGCAGAGATGGATGTGGAGGAGGCTAGTATTTTGTAAAACCAAAAGTTTTTTTAAGTATACACCTACTTGCAGAAACGTTGTCATTATAGAAAATAGAACATTTGAATTTAGTAAAAACAATCTCGTACCCAGAGCCCGCATCATTTTGATGCTCTAAAGTGCCAAAAACAAAACTGACCTAATTTGCATAATTTGCGACGGAAAAGCGTCGCAAATCCAGTCGATTCCTCCAGAGTCTTTCCGGAGTCAGCATACCGCTGACATTAGCCGTGAAGACTCTGGGCTTGAGATTGAGTAAAAAGGAATAAATTAAAACAAGACAAAAGAGAGCGTTCAGCCTCAGTGATCTTCCTTTGTCTTTTTTAATTTATTCCTTTTTAGGTGTAACCATGAAACAAGCTTTGATAGTACTGGTAAGTTGTAAATTGTTATATTTACCAGCAAGTTGGACAGAACCATCCATAGCCAAAAGAATGTTACCAGCTTTCACATCCCTGAAAAAGGACATTGTACATTGTTGTCAATATTAACATAAAAAATAACAGGTAAAYATTAATACTGACCTGTGAATTAAACCATTCTTGTGAAAATACTCCAATCCCTTGAGAACTTCTCTCAAAACTGTTGCAATGACTTCCTCTTCAAGAACTCCATCACTACATCCYTGAGGGTCTGATTTCTTCTTGTGTTTTATGATATCCAGCATGGACCCTACACATCAATAGAACAATATTGGAATGAAAGAGAGTGGGAAAAAGATGGAAGCAAGAAAAAAGAAGAAAAGGAAAAAAGTGGAAAGTGGTAAAATGAATGAAATAGAAATCAAATGGATAAAAGGAACACATTRGAAAGGAATGAAATCATTGGAATAAACTTTCAATCATTCCCTTTGGTAAAGTACTATTGGCATGTACCTCCATTCAGAAGACGCATTATAATCCATAGCTCTTGCTTCACTACAAATGATGTATAATAATTTACAACATTCTCATGGTAGCACTGGCTCATAGTGTGAATCTCTTTCTGAAATAATATGAATAGTTGGAATATTTTATTAAACCATATCAATGTGCAATCATGCATATCAAACTACTGATGAGCAATTTAAAAATTCACTTATTGTCTTGATAGGAATACTCTTTTGATAGAACACATATGAAGAATTTTTAACTTTGTGCCAGTAATAGTCCTTACCATCATTTCATCAATAGATGCTCCACATTTTTCCAAATCAATTCTTTTGATGGCAACTCTTTCGTTCCTTGACGTACAGAGRGCCGCCTGAACAACAGCTGTTGCACCATAACCTTTCATGAAKTTATAWATTAGTCRATATGAACCTTGTGATAACCTAAGCTTAATTTTACGTTGATTTGCAGTATTAAGGTAGTGCTTGTAGTGMTCATCAAGGGCCAACTAAGATAATAGTATTCATTTCACCGTGTCAACCAATATTCTGTCGTTTCTGAATCGACGATTAATTCAGACAAGTATTCCTAAATAGTTAAATAATATGAAATTACCGATAACTTCTTGTAACTCATAAGAATCTTTTGTGTTTGGCCAGACTCGACCTTCTCCTGGCGCCGCCATCTTGAACGACAGCCGAAAAAACACAGGCAGCCCAAAACTACATAAATAGTTTTTTTAATTTTATAATAATAATAATAATGAAAACTTGTATAGCGCATATACAAGTCTGTTCTATGCGCTCTGATATAACTAACAAACAAATTAAACTCTAAAAGCTAAACTAAACAAATAAGTTTTGAGTTCTTTCTTAAAGGACAGCAAAGAGTCAATGTTTCTTAAATCAGATGGGAGAGAGTTCCATAAAGTAGGGGCAGCAACAGAGAAAGAGCCATATGTTTTCATATGTTTTCAAATCCATACTCACTATTTATTTCAGTTCTCTCCCCCTTACTTTGATATATTTTTGCTTAAATTGTTTGTAATGATCCATATTGATTGATCGACCTCCAGGGGTTTGGGGATCAATACAATACAATAACAGTTCAATAAACAGTTTATTTGTACAGACAGATCAAATATAAGTACAATAGGTGCATATAGGTGCATCAATCAAAGGCATATTTTTCTGGGATTTATATAAAACATGGACATTTGTTAATGACTGAGMTTTAAGTATTTTTCGTATGTCGAACAATTCAAATTACCAATGATAATTATTTTCATTATTTAACTTGATTTTACATGTCACCTTTCTTCAATTTTTTTTCTTTTTCACTTTACTTCACATGAATTATTGACATGTTTCACAGCATGTCTTTTCGCGGTTCATTTACGGCTCTGTTATAAGCATTGAGTATACTAAGATTTCAAGGAAATTTTTACTGTAGTGGAAAAATGTGCATGGACGGATCAGGAAACCAGCTGCAAAAAATTTTAAAAATGGGATTCCTATGCTGTGAYAATCACGCATCTATCACATGTTCAGCAAATGGTACCTCTCCTCATTAGGTTATTGCTACCTAATATAGTAGTTGTAAGGATGGAAATCCACAAAACACAGGGATACCATTAGTGTGTTATATATGTTTTGGATAGGAGTCTGTGGTTTCGGAGAAAATGAGGACGCAATTTCTCATCCTTTAAGTTTGTTGTAGACAGTTTGAAAATGCAGAGGGATTTGAAAGATAAGTTATGGAGTGCTGTRTTTGGAGGGCTCATATCAAAAGCCAGTTGTACTGCGTTAATCGTCGATGTAAGTTCGCCATCTTGTGTTTGTACACATATTTTTCACCTCTGCAGTTTCTTTTTTACCTGCCTACCTACCTAAATACATTCCAATTTTTCACCACTTTGTCTGTTGATTGCAGTATTCAGTAAAGCCAGCAGATCCTAAGGACTTGAGAAGAATATTTAACAAGGTAGGTTACCATTACACGGTCTTTCGAGTAATAGTAAAGCTTAAGCTTWTAYWMTA